GTCTGAGAGGACGAGCGGTTAACTGCAAGTGCTCAGCGTCACAATTCCCCTCACCATCCGCCGGCCCGTCAAAAAACCCACCAGCTGCAAAGCACAAAAAACAAAGGAACGCATCCACAAACCACCCAACAAGCACATTCAGCAAGCAAGCACCCGTCTAAGCCCAAACAAAACATAGCCGTCAACCCTTGAGACCTAAAACCCTGAGTCGCTAAAATCCCAGTTGTTTCTATAGGTTTTTCTTTCTCTCGTATGTTTTTTCTACTAGCTTTCTGAGTTTCTATTGACGGTTATGGGTTTTCTATTGGTGATATTTGTTTTCTTGGTTTTTATTGGTTTTTTATGGGCTTATATAGGCTTGAAAACTGGTTTTCAATTGTTTTGTATTTAAGTTTTTATTGGTTCCAAATGCTAGTTTTGACCCTTTTTGTTAAAACCTCTCAGCGCTAAACCAGCAACCCTAAATCAAACCCTAAGCCCTAAATTAAACCCTGGGCCCTGGGCCCTACCCTCCCACATGCTGACAAGAAGTGTCGACGCAAACACCAGGCGATTTCGCGTAGACCCCTGAGACGCAATGCATGCTTGAGCTTGTGCACCGCTTGCGCACCAGCAAGTGATGGTCCATGCTGAGTTTCGCTCAAACTCGAAATGCAAGGGTTTCACACATCGGAATCCCAGTGCCTAGATGCTTGCAGGTCTGGGATGCAAAGCCGGCGATCAGTGCCTGGCAAACAGAGATAAGACAGACAAGACACGATCCAGCGACCTCTCGTTTTCTGCGCCTTCTGCCAAGTACTTTGCCAACATTCGCCAACACCTCTTCGGACTCTTTTGGGCGAGGCTACAACACTCAACCCGTCAGCACATGATGGGCAATCTCACAGACGCAGACAACCCACAGCATGCCGGGACTCCAGGTGTGGCAAAGGCAAACGAAAGCAGTGTTTCTAGCCTGGATCTTGGGAACATCGCAGCTTCTATGGGCGCGAAGTTTTGTGATGTCCTGTACCTGAGTATGGCTCCACTCAACATGGCTGTTGCTTCCTCAGCTCCAAATGCCCAAAACCTCAAACTCTTCTTATGGGGTTGGCCGTAAAGGCGGATGAGGTGTGAAAAGCAGATGCAAGTGCTCGCCCCGCAGGATGAGAGTGAGTCGCGGGTTCAGAGAATTGAACAAGGTTTCCGCCCGGCTCTCGCACTGAGCCAAGAGACTGGGAAAAACTCCCAAACCCACAGAGCCCCCACGCTGCGCCCCAAACTTTGCCCACACTGTCCCCCGGTCCCCACTGTTACTTCGGCTTTCTACCCACTGTGCGGGGTGTGTGTATACGAGCAGGGAGCAGAAAGAGAGCAGCGCGTTGCAAGCAGGACAGGAAAGGAGGCTGCTGGAGGCTATAGGTGCTATAGGCGGGCCAGAATCCACACCGCTGCGAGGCAGCCAGAGACCGAGGCACCCCGAGGCCCAAGCGCGGCTTGGCCTCAAAGCGTGGGGAAATCGCTCTGAGCAGACTCAAAAAGGAGCGTAAATCTGAAATCGTTCGCAGAACTGCCAAGGTCCCAACCAGTTCTAGGTTCCGCCTTCCAATTTCGTATCTGCTTCTGCATGGGAATCTTGACTTCTAGTCGAAAGCAGTCGTGCCCTTATTGCGTGGATTTGCACGCTTCCCGGCACAGAGGAGCTCAGTGTGCCTGTCTATGGCATCAGCGCCGTGAGGCGCTCTCGGACGGCTGTCTCGCTGCGCAGGTCACCACATTTTTCCAGACAATGCCATGAATTAATTACCATGTACTACCCAGGATGACACTACCATAGCATCTACAATCTGTCGTTCACAGGAACCACCACGCCTGTCATATGATGCCTTGTGATGCTGAGTGTCTCCATCTACACCGACATGTTAGATGCCATGCAGAGATTGAGGCGGATTTCTGCGGGTCCAGAGCCACAAGGGGTAATTAATACGCATGCATCCAACTGCAAGGCACAGTGGAAAACCAGAGCGCTATGGCCTGAGTCACTCGCTTTCGTGTTGTGCAGCAAGCAATCAAAGTCTTCTCGACCCATTTCAAGCTCACGGCGACGAAACCAGACTTGTCTTGTGTCAAGTGTTGAGCCTGGAGAATATCAGCGCACACCTTCGGCAAGGCAGGCGAGACCCGCAAAGTGCCAGAATCCGCAGCTGCGGGTGTCACCGTAGTGTGCGCTCTAAGCTCTGCCGCACACGGAAAAACGGACAGAGACTTACATCTTATTGAAGCTCTGATAATGCAACAAATTGATTGACCCCTGCATGTCAAAATCGATATCTGATTGACAAATTCAAACACAAACTGTTCTCGTCACTCGTCGGACGCGGGTGTCGTGCACCCTAGTGACTGGCAAGATACCGTGCTCAACACAGCACGCACAAAAAGTACAGTAGTGAGTGTGTGAGCCGAAGACTGTCGATCACTGGGAATGGCCGATGCAAATCATTGAGGATGCGCTGCTCCAACCGATTCAATCCTTGAGATCGGCCCTTCCCTCTGCATAAACCGTACGCACCCGGCCACTGATCCCTCGTTTCAAATGCCGTGTTGGACCTTAGGTACTGGGCTGGATGAGGCGGATCAGTCGCGGGAAGAGCGACTGGTACAGCAGGTACATATCTACTTCTCCTGGAGTTTTAGCAGGAAAGAGAGAAAAAAACTCTCTCATGGAGTTTTCACACCCCCCTCCTTTCCAGGCCGGTGTGCATCCCCGGCTGCCGTTATGGCAAAGAATGCCGGTTCAAACATGGCTTGAACTTCACCTCACCACATCGCGGACAGAACACGAAGAAAACATCTGCAGACTTTTTCCTGCATTTGCCGAAAACAAAGCCAAGCCATGTCTGAACCCTCCAACTATCAGACGACTGTTGCTTTGCAAATGCCGTTGGTTCACAGGCTAATGATTGTGCCAGTTCGGACCGCCCTCCGAATCTCATCAGAATCAACATCAGATGCCACCTTCAGACTGGCTGGGTCTGTCTTGGGAACTGCAAGCTTGCAAATGCCGGCCGCACTGCAATGTCCATGTTTCTTCTTCTCAGCATGGTCTGGCCAACATGTAGAGACTAAACTGTACATGCAGACAGTTTTCGGGCCGCTGGATGCTCTAGGCGCAGCCACTAGGTGTCACACAGCTTGAGCTTCTGTGCAAGCTTCTTCACACAAGACATTCACACTGGCGAAGAGCATGCACATTTCTCAACAGTATAAGACTGCCGGCAACGAATTCGTAACCACTCTATCCCTCGCTCTGCGACAAAGGGTCGTCTGAAGTCACAGTTGGTACGCTTGCACGTGTCTTGTGGAGGTTGAGGCTGAGGCTTCTCCCGGCATCATCAATCACAGCCAGCGAGGACAGAAGATGTAAGCACTCGTAGTCTGTCTGGGTCGTCCAGTCCGGAAAGGTTGTCTGAGGAACGGAACTTCTCAAACAGCAACAAGGTTGCATCAACCTGCTGATGCAGCAGAGGGGCTTGAGGGAGTGCGTGCAGCGAGCACCACCCATGCCCCGAACAAGCTTGGCAGTTGTGTCGACCCGGAGACACCTGAAAGCTCTGCCGCCGAAACGCTGTCAAACCATTATCGGCGATTGCAATCGCTTTTGTGCATCCTGACACTCTCGACTATACACCTGACGCGCAAAGGGCGTGGGACTTCCGATCGGATCGGAGAGCGCAACCTGGCTCTCCGGTCTGTGAGAAGCTTGAGCCCCAAGAGTGCCGTTCCGTTTCTAGCGTGCTATTTAGCTTTCGGCTTCGCTTCTCTTGTGCGCCTCCCAGATCCTGCCGGAGGGCTCCGGAGATGCCGCACTGGCTCTCGAGGTAAGTGCTTCTGGCCTTCCGGCTACGCCGCTAAACATTGCTGCTTTACCAAGGTGGCTCACTGAGTCGCATACTGCGACAACAGTCCGGGGTTGAACGGCACCAACATGGGCCTCAGAGTGAAAGTTGTCTCCTCTGAAATGGGGGAACGAAGCGGTCTTCACTGTTGTGCATTGCCTTCGCTTGAGCATCTTCTCGTAGCATTCTTGCAGCAAATCTGCTATGACCTGCGTCCATGCAAACCCTCAGCGAGGATTTTTGCACGAGGAAGACATAATTAGCCTGAAAGTGAGTCTGCTCCGGATCCTCAAACACAACCTGATTTGAGTGTGTTCAGGGCCACGTTAGTCGCCTCGCGAAGTTTATGTCAACCGGGGCCCCGGCACGAATGGGCGTCTTGATTGTGGTCTGCCGACCGGCCTGAGCACGCATACCGCACCATCCCCCCCCACTCCCGATTTGTGCGATGGCATTGCTGTAGGCTGCACACCCACTGGACCGCGTTCTCGTGCGACTTCGGCAGGTCACAAAGAATAATCTTAGCGCAGCCGTGGAGCGGCCACAGTACAATTCCAGCAACAGCCAGGTGTCGGTGAAACTAGCAGAACAACAAAGACAATCAAGGTCGACTTGCGTCTGTCTTGATTGTTGCACTCGCAACCCTCCGGGTGAGTGACGACCATCTCAGGCCACGAATCCTCTTGCTGACCTGAGCAAGAGTCCATGCAAAGAAGATTTTGGCAAAACTGGTCCATGCTTCAGAATTTCCGCTGTCAGCAGACCCGCTTCCCCTTGTCACGTTTGCAGCTTCTTACAGCTAATTGCCGTCCGGACTGAAAGCTTCTCAAACAGCAGAACAAGCTGAGGACAAGCTTGAAAGTGTTGTTGAAATGCAGCCCCACACGGAACGAAAGCAGCCCGGGAGCTCTCCCCGACTGCATGAATGCACGGCTTTGCCTTGCAAAGGCGCAGATCTGGTCTGAGATCAACGACGAACAACAAGGGGCCTCTCTCCAATCTGTGATCAGCACATGGAACTTGTTGTTAGTTCGCCTCAGCTGTCTGGCACATTCCGAGCGAATGTCAAGGAATGTACACCATGATGTGCGGCCTCTGGCCGATCTAAATTTCAAGGCTGGAACTTCATCCATGCTTCATACTTGACTGCCTGCCGCATCTCTCTGTTTGTTCAAGGGAGGCATTCCCAAAAGTGGCGCCTTCTTCATGCAGAGTATTCCGGCACTTAGCTTCATGGCCTCGCACTTCAAGCCATCCGACCGGCTGCTTGGCAGGCCATCTCCGTGCTGAGTCTTGGACAACATCTGTGAGGTTAGCACGAAGCCCAAGCCGCTCCGGCTTGTAACAGCGCCTTGTCCGTTGTGGACAAACACGTGCAAAGCACAATTGCTGAATGGCGCCAGCGGCGGAAGGCAGTGATTTCGCGCAAGTGTTTTTGAATGAAGATGCAAGATGAAACTTAGTCGTTGCATACTATAGGGCGCTCGAAACTCCACCCGACATGTTGCTGCACACAGTTAACTTGCAAATTAATGCGTTCTACAGGGCCTGAACCCCTGACCCTATATGGCATTGCAGACACTTAACATACATGTTAATGTTTCCCGCAGAGCCAGGCGCCTCGAATCAGAAATGTTCCGGCAAACGATGAAGTTGCAAGATAAAGACAGGTTTTTGCATGGGAGAGAGTATTGACTACTAATTGTGTGCACTAAGAGGGACACTAATATTTATTAGAGGGATGCGAATACTCAAAAGAGGAGTACCACTGCTCATAAGAGGAATACGAGTAGTAATTGCGCGGAACATTAGTATTCATAAGAGAGATCGTACTACTAATAAGAGGGATACCAATATCAGTAAGAGGAATATTAGTTCTTAGTACTAATGAGGCGTACTAGTACTAGTAAGAGGAGTACTAATCCTAGCGAAAAGAATACCACTGCTCATAAGAGGTACTAAAAGGAAACCTCTACCCAGCGGACAATTAACTTGCAATTTTTCTGCATTCCTCGCAACGAGCAATTAGCCTGCAATTTAATTATACCCAAAATGCTTGTACAAGCCTTGCAGTTTAACAGTGGCCGCCAAACCCTCCAAGGAATCCAAGTATCGAAACAATTAACTCGCAAGTGAAGGAAACGTGTGTAATCATTGTTTATCAGTCGCACAACATGCGGATGTGACGCGATCTGAGAATGTGGTCTGTGTGTGAATACAGCCTGATTCAAAGCTGACAGATCGCTAGTTCGATGTTTGGCAAAAGCCAGACGATCCCGATGGTGGCGATGATCCGGCAGTCACTGAGGTAAATAAAGATCTCGAGGAGAGGAGCCGACAAGGTCGTTGTACCGCGGTATGAAAAAATAACTCACCTCGACTGCTGGATGTCACAATGCATTGCGAATGTCCTAAGTGCCTGTGCAGAGCTCAAGCAAGAAGATTGGATGCGTTGGTTGGAGCCTGCATTCCGAGCATTTCCTGACATTGAAGGGTTGAATAGTTCAAAGCACGTAAAGTTCAATAGCATCGACGTGAAGCTCGGTGCCATGACCGGTATGCTGAAATCAGCCGGTGATTAAGCCTCCGACTTGTACCTGGACGTGAACCGCAAGGCATATCTATATGTTCGAACAACAAATGGAAAGTTCATCAAAGGTCGACAGATCATCGCCATGATGTACGAAAGTTTCCGAACGCGTGATCGATTGTACATGATCGTGACCTTGGATTACCTGATCAAGCTCCAGTACCCAGGTGACATCAAGATCAATACGTTCAAACAGACGTGGTTGGAAATTCTCGGGCGAATGCGGCCTGAAGATGTACCATCCGGTGCGGCTCTTCGTGATACTCTCCACGGCAAGATCAAAGACTCACCAATGATGAAAACGGAGCTACTGGTTCATTATGACATGCTCGCTCCGAAACGGTCATATCAGAACCTTCTTGGCATCATGGAACGATGCATCATGCGGAGGTGTGAACAAAACAATCTTTTTAATTAACTATCTGGCTCAAGTGTCGGCTCAAACCTTGTTACTGGTAGGTGTGAGCGTAATAGCTGCTGTGTAGAACTTGTCCCAGGCCCAAACTTCTTCGGAAGAGGCTTAAACAGGTCAATCCCAGGTTTAGCTCAGTGCCATATTGCGCCTGCCTGCAGCCGAGTTTCTCGCTGCATTGCAAAACAGGGTATTTTGCTTCCATAACCCTTTCCTTTTTGTGCAGCTAAACAAGTAGGTTGTCGCTTGCCAAAGGGCCGCGGAGAGCTACTCCCGTGAAAGAGAAGACACAAAGCACAGCACGCTTAGCCAAGTAACGGAGGAGTTTCTCTGGCCGCCTGTCTGTGCAAGATGGCTTCCATAGCATGCTGTGTCTTCGCCTGGTCGCACCAGGGTCGCAGGGAAGGTTTGTTCCTGGAGGTGTCTGCCCGACAGTGCGATACCTCACGTTTAGCATTGACCCCAATAGGCCGCTGCACATGCACGACGGAGAAGGCAGAACAATCCGCTACTTGGGTATGCTCCAGATGATGGTTTTTGGAGGGCCTCACAGAGCGCTGACGCTGGAGCCAGATGATGAAGAATGGATAGCCTGGCTGTGAGCTAGTGGCGGTTCTTAAACCCCGGAATTAGGGCGTGTAGAGACGACGCCCCCTGCGATTTTCTTGCTGTTTTGCCAGGGCCTGCCTTGGAAGGAATTGAGATGCCCTCAGGAGAGGAAGAACCCGAACGCTCTTGTTTGGAGTTGCACAGTGCTGGTTGCACCAACGATCTTGCTGTCTGAGAGGCAAGGCGGCGTGAACCGTAAGCACCATGGTTGAGTTGCTCCTGTGGGTTGTGCACTCATCTAGGCATAATGCGCACTACACAAGCCTAAGGCTGGTGTAGAACAGAGGCCGCTGAGCCTCAAGGGTCTGGCCTGAACTTAGTGTTCGCCTATAGCATGCGCCCTGTCCTAGCTAGTAAGAGCGAGAAAGCTTGGACAGCTTTGACTGCAACAGGAGCCAAGAGTGAGCTGGGCTCGCGGACTGGGGCTCAGGCTAGTAAGAGCGAGAACGGAGTCTGCACGAAAGGAGGGCGACACTAAGGCCAGTGCTGCAACCCGTGCTGGGAGGTTCTCCTCGCAGCGGCAAGCAAAGGTGGTCACCAGGTGAGGTTTTCCCTGGCGCGTACGTAAAGAGGTCCCATCCACAATCCCGGCCTGTGGTGAGACCAAGGGGAATCAACTGGCCTAAACTTCGAAGTTCGCTGAGGTTTGTGGTTCCTGCAGACAGGCCCGAGTGCTGCTTGGTTGAGCTCGAGCGTGCTCCCGCGGCGAAGGGGAAGGAAGCAGGGCCCCAGGCCAAGTGACAAGAAGTGTTTGGCCAGTACTATAGGCGAGATTCTCGCTTAAAGTGGGTTGGCTTGCCCACTCCACTGGTATAGGTGACCTAAGGGGTATTGTGCCGAGTCCGGTAATAGGGCGACTTGGGAAGATCACCAACCACCGGTCTTTCAGAGGTGCTCGTCAGACGTGGATGGTTAAGTGACAAGTGAGAGAGGGCCAAGTGTTGCTTCACCCTGGTCATCGTTATCGCAATCAAGAGGGAGTTGAAGTAAACGGGGGGATCACCTTCGACTTCTTGGACATGCGCAAAGCCGCTGGTATGGGAGTTGGTCTTGGTGACGAGGCGAGGGAGGTATTGGTTGTCAGAGACGTGGCCACACGTGCCGCTGCAGCCCTTCCAACCGAATCACGACACATACATCAAGTCGTCAATGCCTTGAGAAAACTCATCGGGAGGAGAAAGGTGAAGCTCGCCTACAGCGATGTGGCGCCGGAATTCGAGGCCGAAATGTCTGAGCTCCGCATCCCGATTGATCATTCAGTCCCTGGCTTGCCGAAGAACAATTCTCTTGCAAAGGAGGCCAATCAGGAGGTGATCAACACCGTGGCAGCATCTCTATTTGATGCGGGGGTGCCTGCACAGTATTGGCCGTTTGCCTTGAGCTGCGTAACATACAATCTCAGCATTGAGGATGTGGAAGGAGACGGCGATTCATGGAAAAGAATGACTGGTGAAGACTTTAACAGGGAAAGCCATGCCATGTGGTGCGAAGGTGTTCTTCAAGCCCGCAGAGACAAGAGAGAAGACCTATGCAGGGAAGTTTGACCCAAAGAGAACTCCTGGCATCTTTGCAGGATACATCATCACAACCGGTCAACAATGGCCAAGGAAGTACCCAGTGTGGGACATGGCCGAATTCGCTCAAGTGAACCTTTCCATGAACGAAGCAGTTCCGCTCGCTCAACCTTATCTGACCGAAGTTGTGGTACGTACTTCCCGAAGAAACTGTCTTTCCTCTGAAATCCGAGTATGAGCGGATGAACGAAAAATCGAGGGGCTGAAGCACAACGTCGAACTTGGAGGAAAAGAGCTCAAGGATAAGGACGACGACGATTGACCACCAGGTGGAAACAATGACGAAGGTGATGACGATGACAAACCATCAAGAGGAAACCATCCACCAGAACCGGCAGAAGGAGACGAATTTGCAGAAGAGTACTCTCCTGATCTTGAGGAAGATTCTGAACGCACTATTGATGATATTGGCGATCTGATTCTCGCGTTGGACATGACGGAGAACATGATGAACGTCCATCATCTTCTACTACGCCAATCAATGGCCAGAGGCGCAGACCGTCATTCACATGACGAAGTCGGTCCAACCGGAAGGCTCATCCCAAAGGATGATGACGAGGAACCTAGTGCCATTATCATTCGTTTGAAGGAGCTGCAGCTCGCTCCCGAGGACATTGAACATTGGCACAGCGGTACCAAAGGTGATGGCAAGATCTAAATCTACCTGAGACGACGGCGAGGCGTGCAAGATCGACAAGACAGGAGTTCCGTACAAGATTGGAAGTGACGGCAACTGCAACACAGGAAGACAGGTGTCGAAGGCGGGCAATGTGCAATACCGTGCTGACAGAGGGGAGCCTAAGCCAAGCAAGGGCCCTTTCAGCTCCCAACCTATACTCTCCGGAGGTTTGGGAAGAGAGAAAGCCAAAGCCGCTAAGAAAGACAGGAAGAACGTCGCTGTAGGGAGGAAAACCATGAGTAAGGTGCTGGACAACGTGATCTTTCCCAAGATAGTTCAATGTGACGAGATTGACGTTCAGATCAATGTTCAATGTACCGATGGTTGCGACACCAGTACGTTCAAGAGGAGTTCTTAAGCGACGTCACACC